ACGACGGAAATCTTGTTCAAATTTAGCATAAAGTCCCATCTAACGATACGAAGTTCAAGTTTATAATTAAAATGCGCATAAATGACAAGAATATTTATCTGTAGCCAAATGCAACATCTAAAAGCTTTCAAAGAGAATTTATTCTACTAAGAGTACTTTCAAGTTAATGGAATTCAGAAAATGTGCTGATGGATCAGTTTATTCATGTAAATATAGTACAAAGCAAATACCTATTAGTATATTCAGTAACACTTCTCTCGTCATTAATTGAAGATAAAGATATGCAAATACTTAAATTTCTAATGCATTTACTATTATAATAAATATAAAATAGATAATTGCAAGGAATATTTATATATAACCGTTTGTATGAGTGTAACTTAAATATTAAATCGATAAATACTTAATTACAGTGCAACATTGTTGTTATTAACTAAATTAGTATGGGTTAAAGGTAAAAGTAAACTTAACGTTAAAGTAATGAATTTATCTTTTATTAAGCAATTCGAATAAAATTATTATTATTAAATTATCATAAAGAGGAGATAATTTATTTAAATATCAAATTTTTAATTTATACGTTCGATATTTAAATAAATTGACTATAATTGAGTTTATGCGTGATTTTGACTTTATCATTATCTAAAATTTTCTGTAATAAAAAAAATTTCCTTATGAAGACCTTTTATAATAAATTTAAATTATTTAATTTTAAAATCTGAAGTATTTTAATAAAATTTTTTATTCTTTTATAACTCCATTAAAATTAGCATGTGAAAGTTTCTTAAATTAAAAAAAATACTCTCCTCCACTTATGGATATATGTATAGAATTTTGGAAAATATTTAATAAAGGATATAATGAAATTTTTATAAGAGATTTTAATATTTTATTATAGTTTATTAAACTATAAAAATATTTTAGTAGATACTGGAATAAAATTTGATTTTCTATACATAAATAGAATACAAAAATTAAAAGCTAATTATTATGGAAGTGATGTTAAACTTTAATAAGAGTAAAATTAGATTAGTGCGTGTGCTATTTCTCAAATTATATATCATATTTTCTCTACAATTTCCGTAATATTTCATTTGCATGTCCTGTAGAACCTAATATAAATAATAATATATACATAGAAAATAACTGCAATAACTTCAGTCTAGAGGGATTTCAAAATTTGATCTTTTCCACCCTTTCTTTCACTGCATACTATTTTTCTTTCCATATTTTTTTCATTTCAATGTTTGATAAGAAAATAAAATATAAATAAAATCTAAAAATTACTAATCAAGACAAACGATAAAAATTTAAATTCTGTACTAGAATTTTTATAAGATTTATTTCCAACTTTTTGTTTTTAAAATATATATATATATATATATATATAAATCTAAGAAATGTATATATATTACTATTATTTTTTGAAGTAATGTCGAATTCAAAGTTTATGTCCTTTAGGCAAACATTGAAAATATACACCTTTTTCAAATTCTGTCATTTTGTATGATAAATGATATAAAAGAAAAATTCAGAACACTGAGATCGAATTACTCTTACAGCTGTGTGGAATTTGTAAAAATTGCATACTTTATGCAAAGTTCTATATTATAAACATATCTGCTAGAAAATTTTTTCCTCTTTAAAAACGTTGCTATATAATATTTTATATCATAAAAATATAATTATTATTTATTTAATTAAAATAGACAAAAGAAAGATACATAATTTATGTTCTTTATTTCCGTTATTCAAATGTGACTAAATTAATTAACTTAAAAATAACTGAATGTAAGATAGTATAAGAAAGTTCGTGATTAAATTAATGTTTTTTTAACATTTCTCCCCCTTCAATTTTTAAACATCCAGTTATGAAAAATTTATTTTATTAAACCTTCTACCCCATTATAAACGTGAAAGATTAAAATCTATTCTATAACCTCAACCTTACACATAAAAAAATAATAATGTATCTTTCTCGTTAATTTAATAACGTTAAAGTTATTTTTTCCCCTTCACTAAAAATTATTTATCAAACTGTGAATAGCCCTTGACCGTTGGGAGTCAGATTTTGAAAGACTAGTCAATTTTTCACTTCCTGTTTTCACATAAAAAGAGTATGCAAAGAAAAAAAAGAGAGAAATTGGATGGGGGGATGAGGAATAACCTTTCCAATCTGATTATAATCTTTCCGATGGCTAAAATCAATAAAATGCACTAGAATAAAAAAAATCAAGATTGTATAAAAATAAATTGGAGGATTTTCTCACTGTTTACAGAAAATAATTATAATGGCGATGATTATTGTTATATATATATATAAAAATTGTTACTAGTAGCACGGATAAAAATTGCTAGACATTTTGTAACATTTAAAAAGTAATTCTATAGAGGATAATAATAAAAAGTTCTTTATCAGAAGAGATTGTTTTCACCTATTTTATTGATAAGATATAAATGGATGGTATGTCATGTGATGATAAGAAAAGGGACTATACTAAGAAAACTTATCGAATAATTCTTTAAACTTAATCTACTTTGATAAATCAAAATCATAAAAATAATCTATAAATAATACGTTGTCAACGTTTTCATTAATATGTGATTATTTTCAGGATAAAGTAATCAATTTAAAAAAAAAAACTGATATTTCGTATTATCCAATTCTAGATAAATCCATAAAAAATCTCTATTTAAAAAGTTTTCTAGAGATATAACTCATACCTAATCATTAAATGAAGATGGATAGGTTTTTGATGGTTCCATATGGGATAACAGATAGACAGGTCATCAGAAATTTAACAATAATCAGAAATTCATCATCTTATCTTGTCACGAGACGTTTTAAATGGTGTAAAGATGAAATAGTTTCGTTACGTAAAATTCTATATTTCTTTCCTTTTTTTATATTATAAAAGTTTATTTTAATGACTTATAAAGTTGAATAAAATTTAAGTCATATAAAATGACTTCAAGACTTTTAATTCCATTATAAAAACTGATTTCTAATTTTAAATCTAGCATCATCTACATCATAAAAGTATATATTATTGCCAGTTGCTTATGAAATAAATTTTTCCTCATAAATCTATTGTTTTGATATCAATAACAGATTCATTATAATTTTGATTTCAGAATGCTGGTTTAATATTAAAATATTTTTATTATTTTTACTTTATTTCGAAATTTGATAGTTACTATTGTATTATAAAAACTGTCAGTAAAAATATTAAGTTTATTTGCATAAAAATGTTTTTCTTGATATCATTTTACATATTAATTTAATCATATTACTGTTATAAATATTTATATAAGATCTTTCAAAAGTGATTGACATTTTAATTTTGTTCACATTTTCTTTATTTTTCAGACAACTTAAAATATAAAGGCAACATTCTTCCAAAAACCAATAAGATTTTCTTTTGTTTACCGGTCAAAATTCAGTAAAAATCCGTAAAGGATTTTTTAAGGAACACTTTTAGATAATCATGTCATCAATAAGCTTTTTATTTCTGTAATTTGGCCTGGAAGATTGCAGCTTAGTAGATTTCTAGCTTTTGGATTATCTTAGAGGAAGGGTATTTTTGAAGAAACCTAATTCAATCCACCAATTAAAACAAACTATAAATGAAATTTAGCATATATTTCGGCAAACACACTGGAATATCACGTTATTCTTTGTTTAAAAATAGAAGAAAATAATGTAATTTGGACGAAAATTATTAAATACACCTCCGTTTTTTGTATGAAAGCAGTTATATATACTTATAATTTAATGATACTTGATAACATTATAAATATTTTAAAATGTAGTTGCTTTTGAAAATTTTAATTGACTTTATTATATTACAAAATCACAATTGCGGATTATAAATGATTTTTATAATTAAAGATATAATAAAAGTATTACTATTTACTATTATCAAATTTTTCACGGTGTTTTAGTTCACAAATGGCACATTAATAATTAAATGGATTTTGTTCTTCCGTACTACATGATCCGTTTAATAGAGATGCAACGAAATGGTTATAAGTATCTTATGTCGTTAAAACGTATTAACTTCTGGGATAGACAACATCCAATTACGAGTCTTACAGTTGCTAATAAGATAAAAGATTCCACTACTACTTTAACAATATACTTTTCTTGAACTCTAATACAAACAAGCATTAATTCCTTAATCAAACTGATCTTCTGGAAATATCATTATGTATTTTTTTCAATTCTTGAAATAGGTTGAAATAAAGTATTAGAACAATCTCAGCTTTAAAATACAAAAATTCCGGTAGGAAACAGTTAAATATTCAACAAAAATTTTAATATTACTTTATGAAACTCCTACTTTTACAACTGTATGAATGAAAAAACTAAAAACAAATTTGTTAAAATGCAGTGTGTGTAACTAGATATAGAAGAAAAAAATAATAATAAATTTCGGAATTTCTTATCCTTGCACGTTTTTGGGATTATAATAATTCCAAAATAAATATTTTTTACGTGAAAAGTTTTATTAAAATAGACTTTCTACAACATGATTGATAGTATATATAAAGATGCGATATCAACATTTTAATAATTTTTCTAGTAGCGATTTTAAATAAATTTAACTTAAATCATCCGTCTACGTGGGAATTATAATTAATTATAATAATTTTACGCTATTTTATTAGATAATAAGAACTTTCATTTACGATGTAAAGATAAAATTTTACATTTATCACTTGTTTTATCAGTAAATTTATTAAATAGGTCTCTAAGGTTACTTAATTTTGGCATCGAAAATTGAATTTAGAAAAATAATTAATAAATTTATGGCTATAATAAATAATTATATATTATTTTCCAGTAGAATAGGATTTTTATCATTATAACAAAGTTAGAAAAATACATGACAAATTGATACTTATCGTAAACTTTCGATGTCACACGTAGGATATTGATATGGAATAGGGGAAAATAAACTACAGCCGCTGCCAGTGAAAGAAAAATTTGTACTCGCCTGTTACAATAAGTCTTCCTGTTGTAGCACTATTCACTATTTCTCCAGTCAATCTATTTCTTGTCTGGCATTTGTAGTTCCTATAGGAGTAGTTGGCTTCAACATTTCGGATATGCAAAGTCCCCCAAGGAAACGTCAGATATTTTCCACCTACAGAAAAAAATACCATATTTACGAAAAGAAAAGCAAAAACAACTCGAAATAAGTTAATGAATCCATAGAAAGAATTCATAAATAAAAAATTTCAGAAATCATCCAGATGTTTTACTGATAATAAAGATTGTTCAATAAACTTTCAACTTAAAACTTACCAAATAAAATAAAAACAAAGTCATTTTCGTTTGTCATTTTGTTTAGGAAGATTAGAAGGAAAAATAAATGAAAAAAAATAATAACATTCCTGAACTACAATTTATAAATTTAGAATTTAGGTCAATACTTTCATATTAATGATATAATGTTTTATTAACCACTAAATAAGGTGAAATCATCGATCATGCTCAATATTTATTGCTTGCTGTTAAATTGTCTGGTTGGCAATCTTTCTTTCGATTACGTGTCAAACGGATAAGAGGTGGATTGATTAATGAATAAATCTTAAAAAGAAACAATTACTTTACTGAATGTAAAATTCTAATATCACTAAATCAGTATTTTGCCGTATATATAGAGAAAAACTAGTGGATATTTACAGTTCTTTATCTAACATATCCTCATCTTTTCTAGATTTTTACGTAAAGCAATAAACGATATTTACCTATGTCATGCAGTAGGTTAATAGTTTAAATGTGATTAATTACATCACTTATACATAAAATTCTATACATAAAAAGCCATAGAAGCATGAAATTCATTAATCTAGATTCTGGCTAGATATTTTAATTCACATCTTTTTTAATAAATGAATCATTCACAATGCACAGACACCCCGAAGGATAAAATTAGTCTAGACTAAATAATTTTGTAAATTTTTCTCTGCTGTTTGCAGCTACAAATTATTATATCGTTTTTATTCTCGTAATTAATGATTAATGTCATCTCACATAAAGATCGTATAAGATAAATATGCAATAAAATTCATTCATTAGGCAGAAAGATAGAACATTAGCTAAATAAATTTAAATAATGAAAAAACTATAAAAAATTTTTATAGAATAAAAAANGTAAAAATAAGCAACGAAATATAAAAAAGATTATTACCTTTTACTTAGTAATAATTTATACATTTGTAATTATAACAAATTTTGTACGTTGGAAACAAGAAATAAATCTAAAATAATAATATTTTCCAAGTAAAATATTCATTTGGAATGTAAATCTATCAACTGGAGTAGAATTATACTTAGTTATTTCCCTAATTTTGTACTTAAAGCAATAAACTAATGAGCGTTATATTATCATGAATATCGTATTAATAAACTTAATATAAGTATATAACACATTATATCACGTACTAAATAATTTATGAACTATAAACTTGATAATTAAGTACTATTATTTAGTTTTAATAACAAAGTTAACTTTAGGCATCAAATATTTTCAACTTGGAAAAATTCTTCCTGATATAATGGATGTTTAGATATTATACTTTCGTGTACATGAAAATGGCAATTTGCCAAAAGATCATTCCCCAAAGTAAGGCAGATGGTACCGTAAATACTTAGTATCACTTCGTTTTCTAGTGACATCCTATAGTGCTTTTATTATAGCGAGAAACCAGTGAAAGTCATCTCATGTCCCAGCTATCTTTTTTTATAGGATCCTCTGGTTAGTGATTGGATGCATGATATCAGATATAATAAGTCAAATCATTCATAGTAAGCTACATCAAGCCGCTTTTTTATCGAAACTAAACTTACATTACCTAATTCTGGTATCGTATTAGTACAACAGATTACATTTACTTATACTAATCAGAGACGGCTCTCTGTATCTGAAAGAAAAATTCCCACAGAACCTATGATATGACTCAACTAAAAGCTATTTTACTGATATCTTCTATGCGTTATGAATTAATTATGATACAAATAGGATAAAGTTTAAATATTCAATAAAAGAAAAGCATTGAAAAATGTATATATGTATATACTTTCCGAGCCAACCTCATGCATAAAATGTAAATGCATGCGTGGCTAATATTACATTATTAGTGGCTTTAACATGATATTAGAAGAGTCTTTTTGAATAATACATAACTGTAAAGAATCAGAAAAACAATTACTGTCCGTATAAAGGATGGAATAAGGAATATAGACTATGTCAACTAGGTTTTCAACTACAACTGCAATCCTGCCACTTGCCACTTTCCAGAATTGACTTGGTAATATGGCTTTCCGTTTCCAAAGCGGTATGTTTCTCTTACTGCTACTTCTATTTGCCGAGATGGGATTTACTAGAAGCACTAGAAATGCTGTTCTGCTAGTAGTAAATCTGTGCTTGAACCCCCTCAATAAAATAACTTAAAACTGTTCGACAAGAAAAAAATTTTCTTCTTTTTTTCCCTATCCATTTGCAACTTTATCTGAAGATAAAAATTGTTTCAAATAGAATATTTTTCACAATCGTTCCTTTCTCTGTGTGATCTCCATTTATGTCTCTAAGAGCTACAAAAGCAAATGGGATGGTATAATTGAGTTAGTTCAGTTGATTCATTCGAGGGGTGAGTCATGACATTTGCATTTAGCCATACAAACACGGTTCATTCCATGCTACAGAGTGCAAATATTACATTTAAATGAAAGCTTCTATAATATTTCCTTGAGATAATAACATAGAACATGAATTTAAAGAATAAGTCTTTCTCTTTAGGCAACTTTTGTTTATAGTTTTATAACGAATGAATTTCTTTAAAACAAACAAATTTTGTATATAAAGCTCACAGAAACAAACAGGAAAATTTTAAAACTTTTTAATTGAATCAACCAATTTAGTTTTGAATAAGAAATGTTTTTAATAAGAAGTAATAAAAATTATTTCGTTCTTTATTATTTATTTATTTTTTTCTGTTTTCTTGACGTTATTAATATTTACATTCTAAAGATCAATACTCTAAATAATTAATTATAAATTTTTATTTATTTATTATATTTTTTTAACAAACAAATATTAAGTTTACATTTTATATGCAATTTTAAACAATAATATTCTATTAAAACAACGAAAATGATTAAATAATACTTAGCTATCGTTTTATTATGGAACTTTAAAAAATATTTTTTATATCTCTACGGACTTTCCTTTTATAACATTAATTTCCGCCATTAAAACAGAACCTAATTTTCTTTTTTCCAATTTTTTTTTTAAACTCTTCCATAGAGAATAAAAAGAATTTCACGTTGTACAGAAAAATAAATTACTGTTAGTCACCGGAAAAAAATAATTGCAGCATAGTTTCAATTTAATTACATCTTAATATCCTTGTTGACTTATCTCTACTTTCCTTTCCAAATAGCATAAAAACATAACATGTTACCCCTTTTTAAAAAGCCCGTATATATGTAAATAGATGTTGCAGGATAAGAGAATTTTCTATAAATTTATTTTTTCCATTTATTTCAGTTACTTTAATTGAAATAAAGAAGATGTTCTTAATTAAGTTAGAAATAGAAAGTATGTTAACTCACTTTTAACTGCTTCTGTTTTGTTGAAAAATGTTACGATATTTGTAACACTGTGTTCAATTAACTCTGCTTTTATTTTAAAGCTGATAATGAATATATATAGGAATGAATTAAATTTAGTATATATAGTAATATATAGGAATAAATTAAATTTAGAATAAATAATATAAGTTTATTAATTCATTCTCAAAAAAATAGCTGATACGTGGATAAGTGTAGACACACAAGCTTTAAATTTATATATATATTTTTAAGTAAAAGTCTATTTCTTAAAGCCATTAATATAAACAAATATATAAATTATTTTATATTTTTATAGTTCATTAAAATCGATGTTTTTCAATTTAAAAAATTTGATTTTTTTATTTGACTTTGTAAAAATAAATAAAATGTTTATTCTCATATGATATTTATTCTTTTACTTTTTTTTATTCAATATTCTATGTTTTAGCAATAAAGAAAAATTACATAAGTTCATCTTTCGTTAAATAAATAAATTGTATTTATTTGTTTAACGAAATATTGAACGAGTCGACTGAAAAGTTTCTTAGAAATCATTAAAATTAATGCTCATAGTTAAAAAATTTCTTTTGTGTGAAAATATAAAAAATATATACTGTATCATGATTGAGTTCTTCATGTTATATTTTAAATTCTTCCTCTTTTACATTATTATAATTTATTATCATTAGAAACAGTCTGTCATCAATTAAAATTCAACAAAGCGCAAACAATAACCATGGGGATAAGTTGTCACGGATGCCCTGTTGAGTTAATGCTTCGTGACAATAAACACAACTTGTCACATCATCGCATGCCCGGCCACGCTTAACTTACAGTATATAAATGGCACTACAAAAGGACAAAAGTGATAATTACAGCATTTCTAGATGGATGTGACGACTTATCTACTGTATAAATCTAGAAAGAAGCACCGCCGTTGTCGCATACTGTACTGTACTTAACAATTTAAAACTACTTTGTGTTTGCTGGAATAATAAAACTTTTTTCTATAGTTTCATGGTCAGATTAGTTTCGAAAACTACATTAAATTATTTCATAGTAAATTAAAGTAAGTAGTTCATTTAAAATCAAACTCTTGGTTGCATTTGACTTAATAATGATGTTTATTATAAACAAAGAATTATATTAACTTGTAGAAAAAATGAATTAGAGCTTTTACTTACTCGTTTTTAATTATATATTTAAAAATTTATTTAAAATATCATATAAAATATTATAAACCATCTGAAGTATAGGAACATTGTTTCTAATAACGTGCAATTATAGAAAAAAAAATTCCTTATTAGAATGAATAATTTTAAGATATTTTCTTATTCTTAATAGCATTTTTAATAATAAAATATTCATACTTTTTAAATAGCAGCTTCTTGAAAATTATATTATGTTAATTATTTTAAGTTAATTAATATACTAAATTAATTAATAATCAAATTTCATTAGCTATAATAATTTTTTTCTTCATTTCCGTGTCAAGATTATTGCTGATGGCATAAAATATAAATTTTATAGAAAATTTAATAAAAGAATTACAGAAAATTACATCTTCAACTATCTGAATAATATATGATGTAATTTTTATTTACATTTTCTATATAAGCGCTACTATTTATAATTAAAATGCTTGCTATCGATTTATTCTGTGTCTGATTCTCGAGTGGATAACATAAGCAATAAATAAATATAAAATTAACCAACATGAAAAATATTCTATAGAAAACTTTTAGAAAACATAAAATAAATACGAAAATTTCAGCAATTTTTATAACTTAAATTAGAATTTTACATTGGTAAATGGGAAGTTTTATACATTTTAAAACTTTAAGCATCATATTTTTGAGAATTTCTTAACAGAAACGTACTCATCAAGATCATTTTCCGACACTCTTAATGATATACGACGGAAATCTTGTTCAAATTTAGCATAAAGTCCCATCTAACGATACGAAGTTCAAGTTTATAATTAAAATGCGCATAAATGACAAGAATATTTATCTGTAGCCAAATGCAACATCTAAAAGCTTTCAAAGAGAATTTATTCTACTAAGAGTACTTTCAAGTTAATGGAATTCAGAAAATGTGCTGATGGATCAGTTTATTCATGTAAATATAGTACAAAGCAAATACCTATTAGTATATTCAGTAACACTTCTCTCGTCATTAATTGAAGATAAAGATATGCAAATACTTAAATTTCTAATGCATTTACTATTATAATAAATATAAAATAGATAATTGCAAGGAATATTTATATATAACCGTTTGTATGAGTGTAACTTAAATATTAAATCGATAAATACTTAATTACAGTGCAACATTGTTGTTATTAACTAAATTAGTATGGGTTAAAGGTAAAAGTAAACTTAACGTTAAAGTAATGAATTTATCTTTTATTAAGCAATTCGAATAAAATTATTATTATTAAATTATCATAAAGAGGAGATAATTTATTTAAATATCAAATTTTTAATTTATACGTTCGATATTTAAATAAATTGACTATAATTGAGTTTATGCGTGATTTTGACTTTATCATTATCTAAAATTTTCTGTAATAAAAAAAATTTCCTTATGAAGACCTTTTATAATAAATTTAAATTATTTAATTTTAAAATCTGAAGTATTTTAATAAAATTTTTTATTCTTTTATAACTCCATTAAAATTAGCATGTGAAAGTTTCTTAAATTAAAAAAAATACTCTCCTCCACTTATGGATATATGTATAGAATTTTGGAAAATATTTAATAAAGGATATAATGAAATTTTTATAAGAGATTTTAATATTTTATTATAGTTTATTAAACTATAAAAATATTTTAGTAGATACTGGAATAAAATTTGATTTTCTATACATAAATAGAATACAAAAATTAAAAGCTAATTATTATGGAAGTGATGTTAAACTTTAATAAGAGTAAAATTAGATTAGTGCGTGTGCTATTTCTCAAATTATATATCATATTTTCTCTACAATTTCCGTAATATTTCATTTGCATGTCCTGTAGAACCTAATATAAATAATAATATATACATAGAAAATAACTGCAATAACTTCAGTCTAGAGGGATTTCAAAATTTGATCTTTTCCACCCTTTCTTTCACTGCATACTATTTTTCTTTCCATATTTTTTTCATTTCAATGTTTGATAAGAAAATAAAATATAAATAAAATCTAAAAATTACTAATCAAGACAAACGATAAAAATTTAAATTCTGTACTAGAATTTTTATAAGATTTATTTCCAACTTTTTGTTTTTAAAATATATATATATATATATATATATAAATCTAAGAAATGTATATATATTACTATTATTTTTTGAAGTAATGTCGAATTCAAAGTTTATGTCCTTTAGGCAAACATTGAAAATATACACCTTTTTCAAATTCTGTCATTTTGTATGATAAATGATATAAAAGAAAAATTCAGAACACTGAGATCGAATTACTCTTACAGCTGTGTGGAATTTGTAAAAATTGCATACTCTATGCAAAGTTCTATATTATAAACATATCTGCTAGAAAATTTTTTCCTCTTTAAAAACGTTGCTATATAATATTTTATATCATAAAAATATAATTATTATTTATTTAATTAAAATAGACAAAAGAAAGATACATAATTTATGTTCTTTATTTCCGTTATTCAAATGTGACTAAATTAATTAACTTAAAAATAACTGAATGTAAGATAGTATAAGAAAGTTCGTGATTAAATTAATGTTTTTTTAACATTTCTCCCCCTTCAATTTTTAAACATCCAGTTATGAAAAATTTATTTTATTAAACCTTCTACCCCATTATAAACGTGAAAGATTAAAATCTATTCTATAACCTCAACCTTACACATAAAAAAATAATAATGTATCTTTCTCGTTAATTTAATAACGTTAAAGTTATTTTTTCCCCTTCACTAAAAATTATTTATCAAACTGTGAATAGCCCTTGACCGTTGGGAGTCAGATTTTGAAAGACTAGTCAATTTTTCACTTCCTGTTTTCACATAAAAAGAGTATGCAAAGAAAAAAAAGAGAGAAATTGGATGGGGGGATGAGGAATAACCTTTCCAATCTGATTATAATCTTTCCGATGGCTAAAATCAATAAAATGCACTAGAATAAAAAAAATCAAGATTGTATAAAAATAAATTGGAGGATTTTCTCACTGTTTACAGAAAATAATTATAATGGCGATGATTATTGTTATATATATATATAAAAATTGTTACTAGTAGCACGGATAAAAATTGCTAGACATTTTGTAACATTTAAAAAGTAATTCTATAGAGGATAATAATAAAAAGTTCTTTATCAGAAGAGATTGTTTTCACCTATTTTATTGATAAGATATAAATGGATGGTATGTCATGTGATGATAAGAAAAGGGACTATACTAAGAAAACTTATCGAATAATTCTTTAAACTTAATCTACTTTGATAAATCAAAATCATAAAAATAATCTATAAATAATACGTTGTCAACGTTTTCATTAATATGTGATTATTTTCAGGATAAAGTAATCAATTTAAAAAAAAACTGATATTTCGTATTATCCAATTCTAGATAAATCCATAAAAAATCTCTATTTAAAAAGTTTTCTAGAGATATAACTCATACCTAATCATTAAATGAAGATGGATAGGTTTTTGATGGTTCCATATGGGATAACAGATAGACAGGTCATCAGAAATTTAACAATAATCAGAAATTCATCATCTTATCTTGTCACGAGACGTTTTAAATGGTGTAAAGATGAAATAGTTTCGTTACGTAAAATTCTATATTTCTTTCCTTTTTTTATATTATAAAAGTTTATTTTAATGACTTATAAAGTTGAATAAAATTTAAGTCATATAAAATGACTTCAAGACTTTTAATTCCATTATAAAAACTGATTTCTAATTTTAAATCTAGCATCATCTACATCATAAAAGTATATATTATTGCCAGTTGCTTATGAAATAAATTTTTCCTCATAAATCTATTGTTTTGATATCAATAACAGATTCATTATAATTTTGATTTCAGAATGCTGGTTTAATATTAAAATATTTTTATTATTTTTACTTTATTTCGAAATTTGATAGTTACTATTGTATTATAAAAACTGTCAGTAAAAATATTAAGTTTATTTGCATAAAAATGTTTTTCTTGATATCATTTTACATATTAATTTAATCATATTACTGTTATAAATATTTATATAAGATCTTTCAAAAGTGATTGACATTTTAATTTTGTTCACATTTTCTTTATTTTTCAGACAACTTAAAATATAAAGGCAACATTCTTCCAAAAACCAATAAGATTTTCTTTTGTTTACCGGTCAAAATTCAGTAAAAATCCGTAAAGGATTTTTTAAGGAACACTTTTAGATAATCATGTCATCAATAAGCTTTTTATTTCTGTAATTTGGCCTGGAAGATTGCAGCTTAGTAGATTTCTAGCTTTTGGATTATCTTAGAGGAAGGGTATTTTTGAAGAAACCTAATTCAATCCACCAATTAAAACAAACTATAAATGAAATTTAGCATATATTTCGGCAAACACACTGGAATATCACGTTATTCTTTGTTTAAAAATAGAAGAAAATAATGTAATTTGGACGAAAATTATTAAATACACCTCCGTTTTTTTGTATGAAAGCAGTTATATATACTTATAATTTAATGATACTTGATAACATTATAAATATTTTAAAATGTAGTTGCTTTTGAAAATTTTAATTGACTTTATTATATTACAAAATCACAATTGCGGATTATAAATGATTTTTATGATTAAAGATATAATAAAAGTATTACTATTTACTATTATCAAATTTTTCACGGTGTTTTAGTTCACAAATGGCACATTAATAATTAAATGGATTTTGTTCTTCCGTACTACATGATCCGTTTAATAGAGATGCAACGAAATGGTTATAAGTATCTTATGTCGTTAAAACGTATTAACTTCTGGGATAGACAACATCCAATTACGAGTCTTACGGTTACTAATAAGATAAAAGATTCCACTACTACTTTAACAATATACTTTTCTTGAACTCTAATACAAACAAGCATTAATTACTTAATCAAACTGATCTTCTGGAAATATCATTATGTATTTTTTTCAATTCTTGAAATAGGTTGAAATAAAGTATTAGAACAATCTCAGCTTTAAAATACAAAAATTCCGGTAGGAAACAGTTAAATATTCAACAAAAATTTTAATATTACTTTATGAAACTCCTACTTTTACAACTGTATGAATGAAAAAACTAAAAACAAATTTGTTAAAATGCAGTGTGTGTAACTAGATATAGAAGAAAAAAATAATAATAAATTTCGGAATTTCTTATCCTTGCACGTTTTTGGGATTATAATAATTCCAAAATAAATATTTTTTACGTGAAAAGTTTTATTAAAATAGACTTTCTACAACATGATTGATAGTATATATAAAGATGCGATATCAACATTTTAATAATTTTTCTAGTAGCGATTTTAAATAAATTTAACTTAAATCATCCGTCTACGTGGGAATTATAATTAATTATAATAATTTTACGCTATTTTATTAGATAATAAGAACTTTCATTTACGATGTAAAGATAAAATTTTACATTTATCACTTGTTTTATCAGTAAATTTATTAAATAGGTCTCTAAGGTTACTTAATTTTGGCATCGAAAATTGAATTTAGAAAAATAATTAATAAATTTATGGCTATAATAAATAATTATATATTATTTTCCAGTAGAATAGGATTTTTATCATTATAACAAAGTTAGAAAAATACATGACAAATTGATACTTATCGTAAACTTTCGATGTCACACGTAGGATATTGATATGGAATAGGGGAAAATAAACTACAGCCGCTGCCAGTGAAAGAAAAATTTGTACTCGCCTGTTACAATAAGTCTTCCTGTTGTAGCACTATTCACTATTTCTCCAGTCAATCTATTTCTTGTCTGGCATTTGTAGTTCCTATAGGAGTAGTTGGCTTCAACATTTCGGATATGCAAAGTCCCCCAAGGAAACGTCAGATATTTTCCACCTACAGAAAAAAATACCATATTTACGAAAAGAAAAGCAAAAACAACTCGAAATAAGTTAATGAATCCATAGAAAGAATTCATAAATAAAAAATTTCAGAAATCATCCAGATGTTTTACTGATAATAAAGATTGTTCAATAAACTTTCAACTTAAAACTTACCAAATAAAATAAAAACAAAGTCATTTTCGTTTGTCATTTTGTTTAGGAAGATTAGAAGGAAAAATAAATGAAAAAAAATAATAACATTCCTGAACTACAATTTATAAATTTAGAATTTAGGTCAATACTTTCATATTAATGATATAATGTTTTATTAACCACTAAATAAGGTGAAATCATCGATCATGCTCAATATTTATTGCTTGCTGTTAAATTGTCTGGTTGGCAATCTTTCTTTCGATTACGTGTCAAACGGATAAGAGGTGGATTGATTAATGAATAAATCTTAAAAAGAAACAATTACTTTACTGAATGTAAAATTCTAATATCACTAAATCAGTATTTTGCCGTATATATAGAGAAAAACTAGTGGATATTTACAGTTCTTTATCTAACATATCCTCATCTTTTCTAGATTTTTACGTAAAGCAATAAACGATATTTACCTATGTCATGCAGTAGGTTAATAGTTTAAATGTGATTAATTACATCACTTATACATAAAATTCTATACATAAAAAGCCATAGAAGCATGAAATTCATTAATCTAGATTCTGGCTAGATATTTTAATTCACATCTTTTTTAATAAATGAATCATTCACAATGCACAGACACCCCGAAGGATAAAATTAGTCTAGACTAAATAATTTTGTAAATTTTTCTCTGCTGTTTGCAGCTACAAATTATTATATCGTTTTTATTCTCGTAATTAATGATTAATGTCATCTCACATAAAGATCGTATAAGATAAATATGCAATAAAATTCATTCATTAGGCAGAAAGATAGAACATTAGCTAAATAAATTTAAATAATGAAAAAACTATAAAAAATTTTTATAGAATAAAAAAATTTAATGTATATAAAAATTACAAAGTTAAAGAATAATTTGAGAATTTAATTGATCGATCAATCTTTATTGGTTTATATTAATATATAGTTAAATGAGCTTCACGGCTTTCTCTCTTCTATTTGCCTTTGTCTTGGAAGATTAATTTTAAAAATTATGTATAAGAAAACTAAAATTCTACGAAAAAACTTTTAAAAATTAGATATTCGCTAATGAAGGAGAAATTTCAGAATTTCTTTTTTCTTTTAAAGAAAGTTTAATTCAAAGAAAAAACGACAAAAGAGAAAAATTTTGTTAAAGATTATAATTAGTATCAATCATAATTTAAATAATACACGCATTGCAAAACTCGATTTTCATATTATTTATATTTAAAAAAATGACGTCTCCAATGTAGTTTAATTGACATTTAACGGTTCGGTTAATAAACAGGGATTCAAATATTAACTTTAAACTCTGTTTGTATATATAATTAATGAAAAATATCAGCGCCGAAACTAATATTAAATTGCATTTTCAAATATAAATAATTCGGTATTTAATATGCACGATTGCGCAATTTCTATTAAAATTTAATCAAAGCGAAAAGCGAATGAAAATACTTGTCACTGTCAGAATATAATTGGAGTTATATCGCGAAATACAACCATTCGATCTTCAATCGATGAACATCAGAACTGAATACATTAAAACCATCGGGTTATTACCCACAAGTGCAATCATTCCAAACCACGAATCACATTGAAAGTAGCCACTTAAATCATCCAGTACTCTTCTATTTTCTCTTCCGGAGATGAAATCCATCTATTCAATGACAACCATATTACTCTTTTGTATAGTCTTAAACTGTAATACCTTTTGATGAGCTTTTTATCAAAGAGTCATCTGAGGATCTTCTGTATTCTAGTTCCTATTTCCTCCTTAAATACATCCCATTCATCGCATGGGTAAATGACTTAATTTTATCAAAATTTTCAAAGAAGCTCCACATGATAAAAAAAAAAATTGTTTTTTAGTTTTCTTGTATTTTCTTCTTGATAACTCGAAATGGATATCATTTCATGTATCAAAGGCAATCTATTTTGAGTTTAAACCTGTTCAAATTTTGTATGCAAGAAATTTTATCCAGTTTTCCTTATTTTTCTTTAGGATAATATCGCTATAGAGGATTCGCTATATTTTATGTTTTATTGAATTCAAAGGTAAAGCATTCCTACAGGATATTGCTCTATACTGTTAAGTCTTCACACAATAAGGAATGCAATAACAGGGAACTTCATTTTTGGTATGGTGGCCGTTTAACAGTTAGAGAACATCCGTATATATAACTAACTTGTAAGAAAATTTCTATATTGGAAAATTTTCGTGAAATATATCTTGTATACATGTAAAAATAGCTTAAAATATATACTTTCTTAAATTTTATACGGATTAAAATAAAATTTTGCGACTTTATAAGACTATAAAATCTTTTAACTTAAAGTTTCACGAAAAATAATATAGTAGGAGCCTAAACTGAAAATTAAAAATGATATGGTGTTAAATATAAAATGATAATACTTGAATTAATATTATAATTAATAAATATTACAAAATATNAGATCATTTTCCGACACTCTTAATGATATACGACGGAAATCTTGTTCAAATTTAGCATAAAGTCCCATCTAACGATACGAAGTTCAAGTTTATAATTAAAATGCGCATAAATGACAAGAATATTTATCTGTAGCCAAATGCAACATCTAAAAGCTTTCAAAGAGAATTTATTCTACTAAGAGTACTTTCAAGTTAATGGAATTCAGAAAATGTGCTGATGGATCAGTTTATTCATGTAAATATAGTACAAAGCAAATACCTATTAGTATATTCAGTAACACTTCTCTCGTCATTAATTGAAGATAAAGATATGCAAATACTTAAATTTCTAATGCATTTACTATTATAATAAATATAAAATAGATAATTGCAAGGAATATTTATATATAACCGTTTGTATGAGTGTAACTTAAATATTAAATCGATAAATACTTAATTACAGTGCAACATTGTTGTTATTAACTAAATTAGTATGGGTTAAAGGTAAAAGTAAACTTAACGTTAAAGTAATGAATTTATCTTTTATTAAGCAATTCGAATAAAATTATTATTATTAAATTATCATAAAGAGGAGATAATTTATTTAAATATCAAATTTTTAATTTATACGTTCGATATTTAAATAAATTGACTATAATTGAGTTTATGCGTGATTTTGACTTTATCATTATCTAAAATTTTCTGTAATAAAAAAAATTTCCTTATGAAGACCTTTTATAATAAATTTAAATTATTTAATTTTAAAATCTGAAGTATTTTAATAAAATTTTTTATTCTTTTATAACTCCATTAAAATTAGCATGTGAAAGTTTCTTAAATTAAAAAAAATACTCTCCTCCACTTATGGATATATGTATAGAATTTTGGAAAATATTTAATAAAGGATATAATGAAATTTTTATAAGAGATTTTAATATTTTATTATAGTTTATTAAACTATAAAAATATTTTAGTAGATACTGGAATAAAATTTGATTTTCTATACATAAATAGAATACAAAAATTAAAAGCTAATTATTATGGAAGTGATGTTAAACTTTAATAAGAGTAAAATTAGATTAGTGCGTGTGCTATTTCTCAAATTATATATCATATTTTCTCTACAATTTCCGTAATATTTCATTTGCATGTCCTGTAGAACCTAATATAAATAATAATATATACATAGAAAATAACTGCAATAACTTCAGTCTAGAGGGATTTCAAAATTTGATCTTTTCCACCCTTTCTTTCACTGCATACTATTTTTCTTTCCATATTTTTTTCATTTCAATGTTTGATAAGAAAATAAAATATAAATAAAATCTAAAAATTACTAATCAAGACAAACGATAAAAATTTAAATTCTGTACTAGAATTTTTATAAGATTTATTTCCAACTTTTTGTTTTTAAAATATATATATATATATATATATATAAATCTATTGTATACAGAGTGATGTGTATGTGTTGGCACC